TATGACAATTCCATTTAATATAAACTTTTTTTTATTAAAAAATAAACAAAAACCCCTCAATCCCAGAGCTTGCGCAACTTGCGCAAAATTACAAAGGAAATAAATGGTACTTCATGCCCAAGAAATCAGTTCTTCAGCCCCCTCGGGGCAATATCCAAACCATTTGGCAAACACTTTGGACAAAAAAAAGATAAGGACAAAACTTGAGATGGGGGTAGAAAACGTGATCTCTCTTAAGTAGCTGTATCTATCCTTAAAGTACTCTTCATTTTCTCATTCTCCATCAACTATGACTAAATGGTGATTATATCTTTTTAATTTTACCTCTGAAACATTTGTTCATCTCCCTACCTCATTTCCAGCTGTCACTGCCTGAGAATAGGCCACACTCCCTCTGCCTGGGCTATAGCACTAACTTTTTCAAGTGGTTTCCATCTCTAGATAGTGAGAATAAATAACCACATATAGAAATGGCACTTTACGAAAGTTATAAATAATGCAGCATAATCTGTTGCAAAAACTAATGAAAAAATACAAGGAAAAGATGGATTTTTACCATTAGCAAAAGATTCAATGTTTAGCTCTAAGACTTTTAAAATTATTATTTTATTTGAGAAATTCTTGCAGTCCTGTCTATTTTTTCATTTAATCACTACAAGACACACAAAGACACAAAGACACACACACATACACACACACACACACACACACAATTATTAGAGATCAAGCCCCAAAATACCTAAACAAAAACTAAAAGATCTGGGTCATTTGAGTACAATCCTGTTATTAATTTGTTTGCTATGGCTGAATTATTAAGCTTTGATAGAGACTCATCATGAAGAGCACTTCAGATAAATTCCATGAACTTTATTTTATAGTTCAGTACAATACATTTGAACTTGACTTTGGCTTTAATAAAAGAAATTTCCATTTGCAGTGTTTTCCTACTTTTTAACAGTAAAATCATAGTGTTCAAGAGGGAAATTTCCATAGTATGCTTGTGTTTGGGAACTGGTCAAAGACAAAATAGGGACACCCAGTATTTTGCCCCCTTCCCTCCATACCTACTGCAGTTTGAATAAAGCTGATCTTTAACCACACCTCCAGGGAATGGCATATTTTCCTGACCAATCACAGCAAGCACTCCATCCTTTTCTGGGGCTGGTTCAGAAAGGAGGATGTGATCTGAGCTCCCCCACACCCATGGCCTGAAGTGTCTTGGTAGCTATCATTTGTCTTGCCTCAAATTATTATAATGCAATACAATCCTGCCCACACCACAGGCACTAATTTCTTGTTGTTGCTGAGTGACTGCATTACCAGGAGACTTAGAATTCAGTTAACTTTCAGGATATATCTAGAAATAATATTTGCATAAAAATCGGTATTTTTACAAAATCTTGTCCATATGGTAACTTCTAATGTGATAGCCAACGGACCAACTCCTACATGTTAATTGAGAACATATATGTTTATATGCCTATGGCAGCGAGGGGATGAGGGGAGAAGAGGCTGAACAGTGGTAAGGCCAGCAGAAGGCCAATCTGCACTGAGCCAAACAGGCAGGGAATCCTGTGTCTATGTCTAGCAGTCACGTGTGACTCAGAACAGGAATGGCAAATGTGTGGGGAGGTCATTTAGATTACCGACAGGCAGGTCAGGCCCTTGGGGGCTATAAGAGATACAAGGCAGTTGAGACCGCGCAGAAGTGATGCAATACATGTGTGCTCTGGGGAAAGAGAAAGGGACAAATGCAGTCCAAAAATGGAGGGAGTCCGTGGTTGACAACTATAGGGCAAAAGACAGGGAACAGGAATGTGCATTTGGTCACAGGGACAACCTGGAGGAGGAATGCGGCCAGAGGGTGAGCGCAGTGCCAGAGCCGTGCTTCACAGGTGAGGTCAGGTTGGGACGATGCTGCAGGCGACAACAGCAGCGATAACAAGGAATCCGAAGTCATAAATTCCATGTTCACAAGGCCAAAGGTGACGGGGCGCAGAGAGTGAAGAGAGACTGGGAGTCCGGTGCTGAAGTGAGTGCCATGACTAAAAGAATGAGGCTTTGCTGGGACCGGTTTGGCTCAGTGGATAGAGCCTCGGCCTGAGGACTGAAAGGTCCCAGGTTCGATTCCGGGCAAGGGCATGTACCTTGGTTGTGGGCACATCCCCAGTGAGGGGTGTGCAAGAGGCAGCTGATCGGTGATTCTCTCTCATCGATGTTTCTAACTCTCTATCCTTCTCTCTTCCTCGCTGTGAAAAATCAATAAAAAATATTAAAAAAAAGAAAAAAGAAAAAAAAAGAATGAGGCTTCTAGGAGGTAAATCATCACAAGGCAATAGTCTAAGGAAAACATAAATGGAACAGAGGGCATCGCTGGAATGGGAGGAGGATGGTCAGAAAATAAGCAGAAATGGGGAACAGGCTGTTTCCTTCAACTCCTCACCTACCAGGGTGGGGTGGGGGGGCAGTGAGCAGCAAGGCCTCCCCAGGGGAGGGGTGGAGCGCCCCCTTGCGGGGAGCTGGGCTGCCAGTGAGGCGACCTCAGGGGAGGAAGATCACAAGGGACTTGGGAGCCTAAAAAGAATATGAGGAGGAAGAAGGTAAGAGGCAGACAGAAAAACAGGGTTGTAACAGGGAAGGTTTGGAGATGTTAAGGAAAAACTATTTTTAACATTTGTTGAGAAAATTACAACACTGAGCAGCAGAGTGGGAGAGGAGCTCGAAAGAAGTTTATAGATAAATGCCAGAGATCTAAATATAAATGAGTAGCTGTACAATTAAATATACACACTGGAATGGTTTAAGAGTTAAACAACTTGGGGGACGTGGGGCTGTGGAGAGTGAGAAAAGGCTCTAGGCTCACAGTTGAAAGTGGGATGACACAGAGTGGCTCCTTTTAAATACCAGTGACACCGATGAGAGCAGGAGAGGCCTTCTGCCTCCTGCAGCTGGGGAAGCAGGTGAGAAAAAGGGCTGGCCCCAGGTGCCCTCCCGGCAATTGCAGCCAGGGAGACAGGAGAGATGAAACATCCTTGAGGGCGGATGGGAGAAGAAGCTGAGCTGGAGCACAGTGAAGTTCTGGGTTGCAAGGATGAGAGGGAAGGCAGAAGAGGGTCCCTGCGCAGTGGGGCGCTGGGAGGGTTGTGGCAGGAACTCGGTGTGGGGGAGAGCCACAGGCAGGCAGTGTCTCCAATGCACAAACAGCATGCATCCGATCTGCCTGGGACTGACTGACTCTGAAGCACTTGATGACAAAAGTAAAATGGAAAGAAAAATAAACTACACTTAGGAATGTAATTTTTAAAGTTTTAATATCTGCCACAAGGAAAAAGACTCATAAAACACATTGCATTTCCCATAAAAGCAGTCTGGCTATGAGTTGAATGTAAATTGTGGTGAGAACAGATCCAGTGCCTGGTCCCCCTGAATAATTTATTTCAGGCGGCCCCTAGTGTTCAGAAGCAGGAACCTTAAAACATGGCATGTCTAGACACTCCTATGGTGAGGCCAGGGTGCAGTAAGTCAATGTGAAAACAGCCAAAGAAAAGAGAGAATCTATTCAAAGCAAGTGATTCTTTTTTTTTTTTTTTAATATTTTATTGATTTTACACAGAGAGGAATTGAGAGGGACAGAGAGCTAGAAACATCGATGAGAGAGAATCATCGATCAGCTGCCTCTTGCACCCCCCCCCCCCCACTGGGGATGTGCCCGCAACCAAGGTACATGCCTTTGACCGGAATCGAACCCGGGACCTTTCAGTCCGCAGGCCGACACTCTATCCACTGAGCCAAACCGGTCCCAGCCAAAGCAAGTGATTCTTAAAACAAAACAAACAAACAAAAAAATTAACAAAAAAACTATGAAAGATTTGCTTTTATTTATTTGTGGGTTTTTGTTTTGTTTTGTTTTGTTTTTTTGGCAACTGGAAACCCTATAAACAAGAGTAACATTACTACTTTAAATAGCAAAGCATTTTGTTTTATAGCATCTATCAACACAATGAAAATATGGAAATTCCAGGACCTCACACAAGGATAAGTGATTGATAAAGTCAAAGAGAATTAAATTTAAAGCAAAGACCAACTGAATTTTATCAGCGCACCCAAGGACTGGGCTCAGAACAAATTGAGGAACTTGAGGAAATGGTGTCCAGAATCATTAAAGCTAATGAATTTCCTTCCGTCAGAGAGATAGCAAGCAAAGAAAGCTGGAGGGGAAAAAGGAGTAATGCAATCTGAGATTCTCAATGACTCAAACTTAACAAAAATAAACAATAAAAATCTGAACCTCTTCAGAATATTGCACTGCATGTTGCAAGAATCCCTGCTACAGCTGTTCTCTGGCGCTTTAAAAATAATAATAATAATAATAATAATTAAATCATCCTTTCTTTTCCTGTATTGATAGGCACAGTCCTAACTTCTAAATCCTAAACAAAAAAAATATATACACTTGGGCAGAGGGAAATGCAGCCATTTCTCAGGGAGTGCGTTAGCTAGTGTCACAGGGCATCGCCTGATACTGTAAATGCTGAGCTCTGGTTTTCAACCTGGTCTTGGCTCAGCGCTACTGGATGTTTGACTCAACGAAAGCAACAGTTCCCTAGCCCTACTGGTATTCTTTGGCTTTCAGACACTCAGTAACACTCGGGGTCCTGACATGCCTTAGCTTAGCTGTTGGAAAGTTTTTTTATTGCTTTTGCTGCTGTCCTCATGATTCAAGATAATGAATGAAGGTATGGGAGTGTATCCTTGAGGGCTGCGGAAAACATGAAGTTGAAAGAAGTGATTGGAACAGTACTGGGTGTGGAAACAACCAATTCAAAGGAAACTTTTTGTTTTTATCAAAATAATTTTAAAAGTACATGTCAACAGAGCTCTAAAATTTCCTTTTGGAACGGAGTTTGATGTATGTTTTCTAATATGCCTCCAAAGCTATGTGTAAGAGTTCTTCACATACTAATTATTAATATGTGGAGAGAGAAAAAAGAGTATATTACCTGACAAGACCACTTCAATAAGATCGCCTTCCTGGATATCACTAGCCGTTTTCACCAGCTGGAGGATGTTTTCAGAGGTAGGGTCATGGCGAAACAGCAGGATCTTATCATACATTCCATAGAAACCACACTCGGGGAACTGCAAATACAAATAAAACAACAGGTTACATGTCAAATTGTCCTAAATTTAAAACAATAATGAAATAAGCAAGTGTCAGGACATAAATGCAAACTAATTAAAAAAGTTCACAATATATAGAAATTAAAAATGACAAAAAATGATATTAACATGGCTCCAAGTCATAAGGAAATAAATAACATATCATTAGAGCAATAATGACCAAAAGATCTAATTAGCCAGATAACAGGAGAATATGAGGTTCAGTAAATCTTTGGCTGTAAGTTGGTGAAGAAATATAATAAGTGGAAAGAAGTGTACATTTTTATATGGCCTATAGCAGTGGTCGGCAAACTCATTAGTCAACAGAGCCAAATATCAACAATACAACGATTGAAATTTCTTTTGAGAGACAAATTTTCTTGAACTTAAACTTCTTCTAAAGCCACTTTTTCAAAATAGACTCACCCAAGCCATAGTATTTTCTGGACGAGTCACACTTAAGGGATCAAAAAGCCTCATGTGGCTTGCAAGCCACAGTTTGCTGACCACTGGCCTATAGCATTCCAATTGCATAAAAAGAAGTCAGTTTATTACAAGTCCATTAAACATACTATCGCATTTGTTTGCAAAAGAAAGGTCAGTCCATTCTGGCATGTTCCCAAATAAGAGATGGCTCAACAGGTCGAAGCTTGTTCTCTGTGTGGGCAGTAGTGTCATCTAAATGCTCTGACTCAGGAAAACACCAGAAGGGATAACCAAAACTGTCCCTCTGTAGCTGCCCTTACATTCACTTCATTTGCATGCAATGTAGGTAAAATAGGAAAGCACAGCAGCTAAAAGTCAGTATGTTTTAAATAGAATACCTCATTTATATCCCCTATAGAAATAAATCAAAGAGTTCATCACTCAAGAACTGTCTCCTGGTTGCACGCATATAATGAAAGCTAAACAAAGAATACTTTATCATGGACAGGCCTAGAAAAATTATAATGACAATTACTATTATAATACTAACCATCAATATTATTTCCTCTTTCCCTTCTAAGACAGGAAAAGGCCCTACATTCAAACCATAGCTGTAATTGATTAATTCTGCTTTAAAAGTAGATTTGATCTATTTTTGTTGATCAGTTTATGTTGTTCATTATATTCCACAAATGAGTGAGATCATGTGATATTTATCTTTCTCCAACTGACTTACTTTGCTTAACATAATGCTCTCCAGGTCCATCCATGCTGTTGCAAATGGTCACCCTTAAAGATCTTAAAGCAAATTTCGAACTCATTACTAAACTGTCAATTCACAATCTTATGACCTTTTCTTGAAGGTCCAACTAATCCAACATTGGATATTTTCATTAAAATAAATCATTGATCAATCTAGGCTAACCTGATATGTAAAAAGGTCCCTTTTCTTGTATATGCTTTTTTCACATAAGTATTAAAGATTAGTTTTTATAAAATAATATGTGTAATATAGTAGGAAAAGATCATAAGGGGATAAAATTGTCTTTCTTATTCCTAAAACTAGTGATGGTTCTGACACTTATGTCAATAAAGGTGGATTTTTAAGGGCTGCTGTTGAGAAGAAATGTATAGAATGTGATATCTTTTGAGGATAAATATTATGTATTGTGATTTCTTCTTTTTTCTCTTATTAAAAAATGAAGGGTTACATTTAAGTGAGACATTTTGTATGAATTAAAAAGTAAGTGCATTCAGAACATAACTCTTGGCTCTTAGGCATCTCTTAGTGACTAGCTTAAAACTACTTCATATCACTTAGTAAAGTTGGCCGCCCTAAAATAAACAAAGAGCTGAAATGATATAATTTCTCCCCTTCTAGTAATTAAAAAAAAGTTCCCTTTTTTGGCAATTTATTCAATATTATTATTATGATACAAGGAAAGAAAGGGAACTCTAAAATATAATTTTACCCAACAAAAAAAATAAAGTTAATTGAAGTATCATTTACATAATATAAAATGGTTCTAAAATTATAAATCTAAATTTTGACAAACATCAATACCCATATAAACAAAATCACAAGACATGAAACATTTTCATCAAACCCCCCAAATTTTATTGTTCCCACTTGTAGTCAACACCATCAACAATTTCGATTGTAGGCACAGATCTACTTTCTGTCACCATAGATCAGTTGACCTGCTATAGCATTTCATACAAATGGAATCCTAAAATATTACTTCATTCTCTTTTCTGGCTAGGTTCTTTTGCTCACTATAATGTTTTTTGAGACTTTTATACATTCTGCATTTGAGCTTCACCTCTTTTTATTAGTTATTAGTATCTAGAATAATTGTTTTTCCATTTACCCACAGATGAACATTTCATTTTTATCCAGTTTATGAATATTGCAAATAAAAATGCTATGACCATTTTTGTGTAAATTTTTTAATGACCATATTTTTTTTCATTTCATATAAGTATCTAGGAACAGAATTTCTGAGCCACATGGTAAGTTTGTGTTATAAGACTCTATAAGTCTATCCCTATGCCAACACCTCATTATACTTATTGTTGGAGCTTTACACTAAGCCTTAAATTCAGGTAGTACAAGCCCTCCATCTTTTTCCTATTCAAGACTTCTTTGGATATTACAGACTTCTGAATTTTCACTTACAGTTTGGAATCACTGCCAATTTCTATGAAAAAAAATTGCTGTGATTTCTAGTGATATTGCTTTGAAACATATATATAGATCAGTGTGGGAAATCTATTTATTAATCCGAGTTGTCAAAATTTATGAGCATAAAGTTTTTTTCATTTTATTCCCTAATCACCCTTGTAATGTCTATAGGGTCTGTAGTAAAGTTTCTTTATTAGTTTCTTATTTTATAATTTGTGTCTCCTTTCTTGCTTGCTTGATCATTCTGGCTACTAACCTACCTGTTTTTATGTTAGTGCCATAACTGTGCTAATTACCATAATATATCTTGAAACCAGAAAGTATTATGCTTGCAGTTTTACTCTTCTTGCTCAGAATTAGTTGGGCTCTTTGGGGTCTTTTGCAGTTCTATGTGAATTTTAGAATCGTTCTTTTCTATTTCTGTAAAAAAAAAATTCCATTGTGCTTTTGATAGAGGTTGTACTGAATCTGTAGATCTCTTTGGGTAGTATAGCCATTTTTAATAATATTAATTCTACTAATACATGATCATGGATGTGTTTCCATTTATTTGCATTTAATTTTATTTCTTTTAGCAGTGTTTTATAGTTTTCAGTGTATAGTCTTTCACCTTGCATTTTCATCTAACTCCATCACTTCTATAATTCCTGGTCTGTTTCCATTCACTCCTTTTTTAATTATCACCTGAGGATATGTTTAGAGAGATGAAGAGTGGGAGAGAGAAACATGGATGTGAGAGAAACATCAATCAATTGCCTCCCATAGGTGCCCCAACCAGGGATTGAACCCACAACCTTTTGGCATAAGGAGTGATGGTCGGACCAACCAAGCCACCTGGCTATGGCTCCATTCATTCTTTTAATCCTGGTATGGGTCACATGTTCCTGCTTTTTCATATGTATACTTTTCAAATTAGATGCCAGATATCATGCATTAAAGTGAACATTGTTGTTTTCCTTTAAAGAATGTTGATTTTTGTTTTGTCTAAACATTAAAGTACTTGAAGATCAGTATTATCTGTTTAAAGCTTATTTTTAAGCTTTGTTAGGCAGCTCCAGAGTAGCACTTGCTCTAGGACAGTTCATCCTTACTACTAATGCACCAATCTTTGAACATCTCTATGAAATGCCTCGAGTGCTCTGTGAAATCTTGCCTATTCTCCTGGTACAAACTCAACTGTCTCGCAGCCCTGTGTGAGCTCTGGAAAGTGTTAACTTCATAGCTTCCCAACAGTTGCTTTCTCCCGCCTTATAGATTTCCACCTTCCACACGGAGATTTGTACTCAATCAAATACTCAAGTGTACCCCTAATCAGGTTTCTGGAGTTTGTTCTTTGTATAGTTTCCACCTTCCCAGTATTTCTCCCCTAAAAGTTGTATGTCTTTTTGCTGATGAGGTCTCCTTGAGCTCTCTTCTCTGTCTCCTCCACAGCCAAGCAGGCTCTGCTGGGGTTCTGTGCCCCTTCACTATGCTCTGGAGCCTGCCTGCTTCCAGGCGGGAAGCTCAGATGACTGCAGCAGACAACTTGCTTGTTATCCTCCTGGGGACCCCAGTCCCTTGCTACCTCTTGGCCAATATATAAAACACATTTTGTGTCATTTTCTATTCCATTTTTTTTTTTGGACCAGAAAAGCATAGCCATAACAGATACAACTTGTTAGTAAAAGAAGAAGTCTCCTGTGCTTTTTAAACATAGAACTAATTTCTTTTTTAACCATTATTTAGGTACATTTATTTCTATGTAAATTGCATTTGCAAGAAAAGTAAGTAAAAATGAAGTGCCTGTAATTGGTAAGAGTACATTTTTAAGGTGAGTAATAATATAAAGATATAAGATTTAATAATTACCATATAATTTTCAAACTGCAGTTGGAGCTACATGGAGTTAAACTTTCACTGTTAAAAGATAGTCTCTGATTGGATCATAAAAGTTCTTGTAACTATCATACAATAATGTACAGACACTATTACCATATCCTTTCTAAAACCCTGGGTAGCTGGTTCTAATTCAACAGAGAAGAAAATTGATGGGATTCAGTGCTTGGGCTGGAGTAAGAGACAATAGCTGGAGATGAAGAGACTAGAAAAGGCAGCTGTTTCCCTGAAGAAGAGTAAACTTGTCAGTGTCTTCTAACTAAGGCCTGTCTGTGCTGGTGTGGAGCAAGGGTCAGGTAGGACCACGGGAGAGGATTCTTAGTGAACAGAGATCCTGGCATCTCATCACAGCAGCATTGCAGCCTGGCCTTATCCATGCACACCTTGCTTTCCTCAAGGACAACCCCGTTTCCCATTTACCTATAGTCCTGTACTGTTGACACTTAAGCGGCAATCTGTGCTGTGCCTCTGGTATAATCATGGATATAATATA